CTGAGCAGCCGTGTGTGGGTGAGGGACAGGGAGTCCTTCAGACGCTCGCTCTACAACCAACGCCGGTATTTGATCGATGATCTTGTGATCGGTGACTACGGTGATAATTGCAGTCCTATTGCTGCTGCATACGGCGCTATCTGTCGCTGCAATCAGGGTGGTCGGACGGTCTACATGAAGCGGTTCGTGGAGGGGTATCGCGCTGAGAAGGTATTAAGCGGAGAGATTACTATTCTTCCCTCCATGTGCTACACAGACGGTATGAGACTCCTTGCGCCGCTGAATGGAGTTGTTCTTCTGATGACTGACGATGCCCATGCGGTGAGGGCAACGCTTGGCATGAAAACCGGTGCAGCTGCTGCGCTGGGTATCCAGCTGAACGTCACGAATGCACACAGTATTACGCTTGAGCTGATAAATACCTCAACAGCTGGTGCAATGTCGGCACTGAGGGATGCAGAGGAGAGAAAGCGCATCCATGCCGTAGGTGGTGTGGTGACAGAGGATCTGCTCGATGACGAATCTGTGGTATTCATTGACGCGCAGAATATTCATCCACATCTGAACAAGTTTCGCCGGCACGTTATCCGCCTGTCACCGACGCTGGAGCAGGAGTTCTTTGTGCTTGCGCAGTACCTCGGCAGCACGGCTGGCGCCAACGCCCACGCTGTGATCCGCAGCGACGAGGCGGCTGCGATGGCGGATGTGTTGCGGCGGTCCCTTGTGACGTTTGGCGGGTTGCTTCTGTCCTCCACGCTGCTGTCTGGCGGTGACGCGCTGGGGGACTACCTGCCGCGTAAGGGCGATGTGTTCGTCGTGGGCCTTGCTGCTGCCGATGTTGCTGTGATCGCGGGTCACCTGGCGGAGCACAGCGGTGTGCGTGTGCTTGTGCTGTTCACGGAGGTCTCCTTATTCTACGATGAGTTTGTTGCTGCGTTCAATGGGAGTGCTGCTGCTGGGCGCCTTGTGTTCGCGACGAGCCTGCCGCACTGGGCAGACGAAAACACAACGTCTGAGACAGTGCAGCTGTTCCACGCTGCTGTGGAGGAGAAGGCGAAGTGGACCCCGCTGGTGCTGAGGGCATTTGCCAGTACACTGCTTTTGAAGACTATTGTGTCTCGAATGGATCTTGTGAGTGCTGAATTATTGGTTGATTTCTTCTACAAGAATGTTGCCATCACTGTGGCTGATATGCTTTACGGACCCTTCAAGGACGGCAAG